TCTTTTATATACCAGACTACCCTATATACTAGTAAATAGCTAGAACATTCGCCAAGGTACAGGATAGTTCTAGAAACGTGGCGTCACAGTAGTCATGTGACCTCGCTGACGCAACAATATATTATTATTGTTTCATTATAAATGCTGAAACTTTAGTTGTTTTTGTTAAAACATTGCATTCGATCATTGTTGATTCCTCGATTTGAGGATAATCGCTATGACGTCTCATTGTGGCTTAGAACTCCAAATCCGACAGGTCTATCCGCAAAAGTTGCAGATTGTATCACTGAGGAAGATACTTGTGAGCTTGTTTGTTTTTCCTTTGTAGAAGTCTGTGCATGATTTCTTTTAACATGGAGGAGTTGTCGACCGTACAGCAGCCACATGATCTTGGCAAGATAGGGGTCTGAATCTTGTGGCAAGGGCAGCCCAAAACAACTGTAGCTCCCCATTCTTGCTGTAGCTTTTTCCCGCCTTCGTAGTTATTGAGAACCTATACATATCTTTTCGCCTGATCAACCGCTGAGGACTTGGAGAAAGAGATTGTGGTTAGAGAGTAGTTTGTCAAGAACCTCTCTCTTCCCAGACCTGTTCACTTTGGATTAAATTGGGTAGACCTAGCATGATTACTATACTTCAGACGACATAGCCCTGAAGATCTTAGGAATATGCAAAGTCACGGTCTGTGGGAGGTAACAAATATACAATTTATTCTGGTAATGCTCAGTTTTTGTCTGTCCTGAAAATGCTTACGCACCTTATTAAATGAGTATGCGCACTTTGTTTTTTCACATTGAATCAAAAATATAGTGTGTAGGTTTTTCTTCAATAAGTTAAAAAATATTAAAATTTATAACTTTCCCAATTTTCCCTGGTTCCTGGGATTAAAAAATTATTGGTCGTGAAAGTGTTTGTTTGTAGTTAATCACAAAACTACATAATGGATTATCTGCACTCTGCCCATCACGCATATCGAAACGCGGTTTCTAGCGTTGTAGGTTCGAAGACATCCCGCTGTGCCACTGGGGGGGTTGTGAAAGAAGTGTTAAATAAATAAATATTTGGGAATTTAAAATCTTCAGTTTAGTAAAATATTAATATATGAAATTAAAGACTTAGAAATGTTAGTTAGTACAGCAAAAACTACATGATACAAATATAAATGTATATTGTTTTAATGCAATACTTCCATGTAATTTATAGAGTAAACGTAATTTAATATAAATTTTATCTAAATAACTTAACACCTCAAGCTAGATTTTCCTTTGTAAAAGCGAAGCAATAACAATTTGTTTTTTGTTTTTTCCCGTGATGCGTCAGCAGTAAGTTTCCGGACTTAAAAATGCTGAAATGCAAGGTTCAATACCTCGTGACGAACAAAGTGCGGATAGCTCATTGTGTAGTTTTGCACTAAAAATCCAATAACAACATCAACAATTTTTTGTGCTTTTGAAAAGAAAATAATTGTTAGAAACAGCAGAAATCGATATACATGTAGATTAATATGCATTTGTGTTAGTGGTAGGACTCAACAACAGCTGAGGCCATTCAGTTGCCACAATAACCAGGAACATGATAGGCAAATACTTCAGGAAGGTTAGGTTAAAAGGTATAAGCCGAAACCGATGTTGGTTAATAAATGGTTATGTTCTGTAAATTTGTTGTTTTCGATTTTAAAATAAGTTACAATGTTTTTATTAGTTAAGAAAAAATTTGCCAAAATGTAAATAAGATATCGTTTCGTGATTCAATTGGATCGATATCTTCACCTATAGTTTACGTGAACTGTGACATCACAGGTGGTTTTTTGTAAAATTGAAAGTAACTCACCAAAGCCATCTTGATAATTAGAGATATTTATGGCTTTTAATGCTACTGTAGTAAAAAAAAATAAAAATAGGTGGACCCATATAAGAGCGTTACAAAAATACTTATTCACTTTACTCTGATTAAAGATAATTATGCTCAAGTTGAACACAAAAAACTAAGCAATATTACAAAGCCAGTGTTTCTTCCTGTTTGTCATTGAATAATATTTTGGGGCAAGTTGTTTAGTGATCTTGAGCAAATTTGCTTTTTCATTTTATTTTCGTACATTTTGCATATCTTGAAGAAATACGTTTAATAATTTCAGAGATATTTTATATGAAGCGAACTTGCCAGTGAGAAACGAAGCTTTAGATCTAGAATTCAGAACTACAAATATCAGAAATTGTCCCACCAAAAGATTAAATTGTATCTCTAGTGAATTAACCAATAACAGTTAAAAAATCTAACTCGGTTTGATTTCTTAAACATTGATCAGCAATATGAACATCTTCGGGGTATAGGGTGGAATAATTTCAGCTTGACCTCTCGTGGCGAGATTGTTAAAGTCTGAACAACAGCTTAATCCTTTCAACTGCGGTCAGTGACCCACCATGAAAATAGGAAGTAGAAAATAGTTATATGATCTTTAGGTTAGTATTTAGCTGATAACACTAGCAAAGGTATTTCATTTGAAGGGAAGGAGGGTAAGTCGAAGGATAAGAAGTATTTCAGTGAAAGCTTTGGCTGTTGGAGTGACATTAGTAATCCTTGCGGATTTTGGTAAGTTGAGTTACTTGATTTGATGTAAATATATTCATTAAATGGGCAAAGTTTGAAAAGCACTACATAAATAATCATTTAAGAAAAAAGTAGAGAGAAGGGGGAATGTTTGGTTGTCTGTACATCTACGTAAATATAGGCTACTTTATTAAGTTTGGAAAAATTTTCGGTACTCAGTATCTTATATCTAATGATGCATTAAAAAATTACTATTGATTCCTTGGTTTCTTTGATCTCTTACAAACTTAAATAACACATGATCCTGAAAAACTGACTTCCCTTTTTGATGTGAAGTAATCTGCGTATATGAAGTCTAGATACTTTACAGTTTTTATTAGTAATTAGCACTGGATACAGCAGACGTAGTGTGTTTGTCATATTGTTAAAGATTATTCTTTACTTTCACTCATAAGTTCTTAAAATTACTAGTATAGTCTTCACTCGTTAACACTGGTTATTTGACTCGCTCCGGGAAAAATAAGACTAGCTTGCTGGTTCCCCAGTTCTTTTGGATAATGAGTAAAGTTAATTCAAGTAAAAATATATAATAATAAATAACTGATGTTAAAATAAATAAATAATATTGCGTAATTAATTTTTCTTTACCTAAAGTCTGATTTGTAAACGATTCGTATAGAATTGATAAAATTTACACTTCACCATAATACAATTTAGAATATAAACTACTAAAACATTAAAACATAACACAAGATAGATATTTAATGTAGAACTGCTTAATCTAAACAGTTTTAAATAAAGTTGTGGTTGTTGAATGTTGGTTGATGTCTAATTGTTTTGTTTTTGTTGTTGTTGAGTTCAGTGACTAAATTTCAAGACTTGATTATTTTTTATTTTTAAGCTTTCTCTGCCTATATATGGTATGTTATGGCTTAAATACATTTAGAAAGACTTGAGGGTTTTCTTTTCGGATGGAAATTAAAGTTGAGAA